TCTTTTATTATTCTCACATTAGCTACAACTTCCAATATGATGTTGCATTGGAGCAATTAGGGGTACCTTTGCCTTGTTCCTGATCTTAGAAAAAACGTATTTAGTTTCTCACCAATAAGTATGATGTTTACTGTAAGTTTGTTGTAAATGTTCTTTACCAAGTTTAAGAAGTACCTCTCTATTCCTAGTTTGACAAAGATTTTTGTCATGATTGGTGTTGGATTTTGTCAAATGCTCATTCTGTTGATACAATCATATGATTTTTCTTCTTTAGCCTATCTATATAATTTAATAATGGCCTGCTGTACTTGGAATGAATCCCATTCAGTCATGTTGTATAATTCTATTTATTCATTGTTGGCCTTGATTTGCTAATATTTTGTTGAGGATTTTTACATCTGTGTTCATGAGACATATCGGTCTATAATTTTTCTTTCTTGTGATGTATCTGTCTAGTTCTGGTATTCAGGCAGTGCTAGCTCCATAGAATGTGTTAGAAAGTGTTTCCTGGGAGAGGTGGTAGAGAATTAGTATTTCTTCCTTAAATACCTGGTAGAATTCACCAGTGATCAATTGGGCCTGGTGCTTTCTGTTTTGAAAGGTTAATTATTGATTCAATTTTTAAAATAGGTATTGGTCTACTGGTATTCAGATTTTCTATTTCTCCTTGTGTTAGTTTTGGCACATTGTTTCTCTCAAAGAATTGATTCATTTTATATAGGTTATCAAATATGTGGGCATACAGCTGTTCATAATATTTATTACTCTTTTTTATATTTTTTATTGATTTCAGAGAGGAAGGGAGAGGGAGAGAAAGATAGAAACATCAATGATGAGAGAGAATCATGGATCGGCTGCCTCCTGAACACCCCACTGGGGATCAAGCCCACCTGGGCATGTGCCCTGACCAGGAATTTAACTGTGACCTCCTGGTTTACTATAGGTCAATGCTCAACCACTGAGCAACGTCGGCCAGGCCAATATTTGTTATCCTTTAGTGCCCATGAAACCAGTAGTGATGGCCCTTCTTTCATTTCTGATATTAGTAATTTGTCTCTTTTCTCTTTTTTTGTAGTCAGCCTGCCAGAAGCTTATTGATTTTATTGATCTTTTCAAAGAATCAGCTTTTAGTTTCTTTGATTTTCTTTATTGATTTCCTGTTTGTAATTTCATTCATTTCTGTTTTATTTTTTTCTCATTTCTTCTGTTACTTTTAATTTGTTTTATTTTCCTAGTTTCTTAAAGTGGAAGCTTAGATTACTGATTTCACATCCTTGTAGTTTTCTAATATATGTATTCAGTACTATAAATTGTCCTCTAAGCACTATTTCTTCTGCATCTCACAAATTTTGATAAGTTGTATTTTCACTTCATTTAATTAAAAATATTTAAAATTTTTAATCTTGAGATGTTTTAGTTGACCCATTTGTTATTTAGAAGTGTATTGTTTAATTTCCAAGTTTGGGAGCTTTTCATCTATTCTTTTGCAACTAATTTCTAGGTTTTTTTTCATTTATTTTTTTAAAAATACGTTTTTATTGATTTTAGAGTGAGAGGAAGGGAGAAGGAGAGAGGGAGAGAAAGGGAGAGAAACATCAATGCGAAAGTGAAACATTGATTGGTTGCCTCAAGTTGGGTCGAGATAAGGTAGAACCTAGTAAGGATTCATGCTTCTCTAGACTGGAAGCTGGCTATCCATGTAAAGAGCTGGAAAAGCAGATTTTTAGACTACTGTCTCACCTCTCTTGACATAAGGCCAATTATAACTCACAAGTGATATTCAATGGAAAATGGTTACAAATTTCAGGATAAGGAAATCACCCATCCCCACAGGAGATCAAGCCTGCAACCCAGAAGGTACCCTGTCTGGGAATGGAACCTGCCACCTTTTGGTTCATTGAACAATGCTCAACCAAATGAGCCATACCAGCCAGGACTGATTTCTAGTCTAATTCCACGGGGTACTGAGAGCTTACTTAATATGATTTCTATTCCTTTATCTTTGTTAAGGTGTGTTTTTATGGCCCAGAAAGTGTTGTATCTTGGTAAATGTCCCACGTGAGCTTGAGAAGAATGTATATTCTGCTATTGTTGCATGAAGCATTCAATAAATGTCTATCCAGATATTTATGGTGCTGCATTGTTTAATTATGGCCTTATTAATTTTCTGTCTGCTGAATCTGTCAATTACTGATGGAGGGGTTTGAAGTCTCCAACGATAATAGTGATTCCTCTAGCTGTCCTTAAAGTTCTGTCCGTTTTTGCCTTACATATTTTGATGTTCTGTTGTTAGACAAATATACATTAGGGATTGTTATGCCTTCTTAGAAAATTGACCACTTTATCATCATGTAATATTCCTCTTTATTGCTGATAACTTTCTTTGCTCTGAATTCAGCTTTGCCTGAAATTAATATAGTTGCTTAGCTTTCATTTGATTGGTGTTAAAGTGCTAAATCTTTCTCCATCCCTTAGCTTTTAACCAGTTTGCCTTTATATTTAAAGTGAGTTTTTGTCCACAACATATAGTTCGGTCTTATTTTTTTTATCCACTCTGACAGTCTCTGTCTTTTAATTGGTATGTTTAGACCATTGACAGTTAAAGTGATTATTGATATAGTTTGATCTACCATTTTCTAACAGTATTGCCTAAGGGTATTTGTTGTCCTTGTTTCCTTCCTTCCTTCCTTCCTTCCTTCCTTCCTTCCTTCCTTTCTCTCTCTCTCTCCCCCCTTCCTCTGGTTTTATTTGAACATTTTATATGGTTATATTTTCTCTCCTCTCTTAGTATATAAATTATACTTCTTTTCAACTTTTCTTTGGTTGCCTTAGAGTTTGTAGTGAACCAATTTACAACTGCCCTAAGTCCACTTTAAATAACAGTTACACTAAATGAAATCTCTCATAAACTTAAGAAACAAAGTCATAGTAGAGAGAATGGAATTTCCTCAAATACACAGTCAACACCCCCGCCCCCCCCGCCCATTTGAGTCTGTAGATGGTAGAAGATAAAGAATTAAGCTCAAATCTTCCAAAGAGTATAACTGAGTTTCCCATAGTCTTTCATGGTTGAGAAGATAGAGACCTGTCAGCATCACATCTTGAGAAACTGGGAAAAATTAGAAGTGAACAAATTAGATATGGATTACTAAAACTACAATTCAGACTTGACCCAGTCCAGTCTTTGATTGGATTGATTTGATCAGCCCCTCACCCTAGCTGATTAGAAGAGGAAGGTATGCACTTATGATTTGCCTACTTTAATGGGAAAAAGATACATATATATTCATACATAAAAGTATAAATTTTATGAATATATAATTTGAGATCCTATTATAAAACATCTTTATTCATATTTGAAGTGTGTCCATATATGTGTATATCCTATCTAATAAAGAGGTAATACGCAAATTGACCATCACTCCAACACAAGATGGCCACCTCCCTGTGGACACAAGATGGCCAGCAGGAGAGGGCAGTTGTGGGTGATCAGGCCAGCAGGGAGGGCAGTTGGGAGGGACCAAGCCTACAGGGGAGGACAGTTGGGGAAACCCAGGCCTGCAGGGGAGGGCAGTTGGGGCTGACCAGGCCTACAGGGGAGGACAGGTGGGGGGGACCAGGCCAATGGGGGAGGACTGTTGGGGGTGATCAGGCCTACAGGAGAGGATAGTTAGGGGTGACCAGGCCTACAGGGAGGACAGTTAGGGGCAACCAGGCCAGGAGGGGAGGGAAGTTAGGGGCGACTGGGCCAGCAAGAGAGGGCAGTTGGGGGTGACCAGGCCTACAAGGGAAGACAGTTGGGGGCAACCAGGCCGGCAGAGGAGGGCAGTTAGGGGCAATCAGGCCAGCAGGGGAGCAATTAGGCATCGATCAGGCTGGCAGGGGAGTGGTTAGGGGGTGATCAGGCTTGCAGGCAGAAGTAGGTAGGGGCAATAAGGCAGGCAGGCAGGCAGGCAAGTGGTTGGGAACCCGCAGTCCTAGATTGTGAGAGGGGTGGGCAACTGCCCGTTTAGGCCCAGGGATTGGGCCTAAACGGGCTGTTGGACATCCCTCTAGGCGTCCCAGATTGGAGAGGGTACAGGCTGAGCTGAGGGACACCCCCCCAACCCCTGCACGAATTTTGTGCACCGGGCCTCTAGGTATGTATAATTTTTACTCAGAAGAAAATTATGTAAAACTAGTGTTTTTTAGGCTTTATGGACTAAACAATTTAGGATAGCATCTATTTTCTTATCTAATTTAATATTATTAGGAGACAGGTGGAACTGTCTTCTAATAGAAGACCAAATATTTTTTTCTCTATTTTCCATTTGGTCCAGGGCACTAAAATTTAGACCAATTATATACAATTCTTAAGATATTTAAACATAGATTTTTTTTATTTAATAAAAGATAGTTAGGAAAAATCATCTGATGTTAAACTCAGATTGACCAATTACAGTTTTTTTCTCTGAATTTACCTGAGGACTTATTTAAACTTCAGTTTTGCCGAAACCGGTTTGGCTCAGTGGATAGAGCGTCAGCCTGCGGACTGAAAGGTCCCAGGTTCGATTCCGGTCAAGGGCATGTACCTGAGTTGCGGGCACATCCCCAGTGGGAGTTTGTGCAGGAGGCAGCTGATCGATGTTTCTCTCTCATCGATGTTTCTAACTCTCTATCTCTCTCTCCCTTCCTCTCTGTAAAAAATCAATAAAATATATATTTTAAAAAAATAAATAAATAAACTTCAGTTTTATGAATAACAAATAATTTTACTTTTATACTTATATATTGCATATAAAGTAAGCATAGTTTCATATTATTTCTCTAGTTATCATGTAAGCTGTTTTACTCTAAGATAACTAAAAGAAATTAAAATATCTTCTAATTTAAAAATAATTGAGGTTTAGTCACTTGCCTTATTTTATAAAAGTTCAATATTTAGCAACTATTTTAACATGATAGAGTGAGAAGTAGTGAATTGGTATATACAGAATGTTAAAAAGTAATATTTTTTATAGGCAGAGCTTCTAGATGCTGCAGCTGGCATTCATGTACGGTTCAGATTTGGTGGTGTAAGTATGGATGAATTCTTATTTGTTGTTTTTTAAAAATATATTTTTATTGATTTCAGAGAGGAAGGAAGAGGGAGAGTTAGAAACATCAATGATGAGAGAGAACTACTGATCAGTTGCCTCCTGCACATCCCCCACTGGGAGTTGAGCCCGCAACCCAGGCATGCACTCCTGACTGGAATCGAACTTGGGACCCCTCAGTCCACAGGCCGATGCTCCATCCACTGAGCCAAACTGGCCAGGGCCTTGTAGTTTCAAAGCACATTTATATTTAATTTTAAAGATGTAATTTTTTAAATGTAGACCATTTTGTTATTAGATTACAACGGTCCTTTGTACTTTTCCATCTACAGGCTAAATTTCCACCTGACATATACTATAAAATTTTTACTGAAAGACACATTGAAGATCTGTGTGCTAATAGCCCTAGAGATTACACAAAACTTTCAGCAAAATATGCATCTCATATTAGAAGTGATAATCTTCAGAAACAGGATTGTAGAGGCTGGTATCGTCGTATAGAGAACAATGGCTGGAGGCTTGTTTCTCATAGAGTAAGAAAAAAATATTAATAATTTTAAACATTTAATATTTATAAACCAATTTGTCTTTTTTAAAATTAATTTTAATTACATTTAAATAGTAAATCCTAGTAATTTAGTTGATAAAAATTGCTTAGTTAACTACTCTGGGGTTACTAATGATACTTCAAGGTATAAAAATATATCTCTTTTTTTCTTACATTTATTTCTACTTTTAGTAGTTTTGATTGAAGCCATCTTTAGGTACTCCCTGATACTCAGCAGTTTACCATTTTGATATCAAAGCAAATGTGAGGATGTTGACTCTGTATTAATACGTGGACTAGAAATGTAGAAATGGGAGTTATTGAGAACAATATAACATTTTCTCTTACAGAACTTATAATAGCAGAGACTGGTGGAAAATGATTTGAATTTTCATGGTTGGGAAACTTAACATGTATTCACATTAATTGACCACAGTGATTTTAAATATACATAGATCCTAATGCTATATGTGATTCAGGAACTTTTCTATAGACAACCATGTTTAATCTCTTTTGTGGAAATTATTCCTACTTAAGGATATTTGTAAGGTTACATTTTATAGGTTAACACGATCTGGTTCTGTAGCTCTAGATGTCTGTTTATATTGCTTCAAATATCTTCATCAAATCTTCAGTCCTCAGATGATAGAATGTGGTATGTTGAATATACTAAATATGAAAAGTGAAAATGATCAAGGTATGCATTTATTCAACAAACTTGATTGCATACCAACCATGTGTCAGGCATTGTACCAAATGCTAAGGATATAATAGTAAATAAGAATAGTTGCTCTCCTCAAGCAGTTTGCCTTTTAGTTTGGGAGACATTTAGTAAACAGGATATTTCAATATAATGAAATAAATATGTGCTTTAATAGTGGCAAATATAGAATGTTGTGAGGAAGAGCAAACTCTCCTCATTATTTAATGTGTGTGTAGTGGACAAAGGGGGATGAATCAGAAGTAGGAAAATAGACTACCAGTTAGGATACAGTGTCATACAAGGGAAACCACATACTCTCAGGACATAATGGTGAGACTTCTGTGTTCTTGGAACCTGCCTATACTCCTTAAAGATTAGGGTCTTCAAAAGCCACCAGCACTAAGAATAGGTCAGGTCTGTTCTTGTGAGAAACTAAAACACTTAGAATATGTCTATTCATTCAACAAGTACTTATTAAGTACCTCAGTACACGAGTACCTGGTCAATCTTTCTGTGGCATGTGCCTCTAGCAGTGGTTCTCAACCTTCCTAATGCCGCGAACCTTTAATACAGTTCTTCATGTTGTGGTGACCCCCAATTTCATTGTTACAAATTGAACATAATTAAAGCATAGTGGTTAATCACAAAAACGATATGTAATTATATATGTGTTTTCCGATGGTCTTAGGCAACCCCTGTGAAAGGGTCGTGACCCACAGGTTGAGAACTGCTGCTCCCTGTGCTATTCACCCATCACTAAATTAGAAATACCTTTCAAGGGTTTACCTTACCCTCTATTTCTACCTTGGCATATTCGTACTGAGCACTCAGAAGTTATTGTGTACAGTCAGATAACCTCACAATCAGTATTTCAACATTTTGTATATTCTTGTTTTATTTCTCAATAGTTTTGGTTGTCTACTGAACATGCAATTGGAGACAAAAAGGAAACCAAATTTCATTTCTCTAAACTGAAAAGAAGACAAGATATAGAAAAAGAGAGAAAAATTAGAAAAATACAATGGATGAAGCAAATGTAAGTTGATGAAAGACTTACTAAAAAGTATATAGTATTTTAAGGTTTTAATTTTTTGCTATTATTACTAAAATAACTATGTTATATATTTATTTTTCAATATGATAGAAAGCTTTATTTCCATGGAATTATACCACTGGGTTTCCAAAGTCCCATTTCACTACAGAGGAAGTGTAGCTGGGATTTCTTTCTTTTTTTTAAAAAAAAATGTTTTTATTAATTTTTTTAGAGAGAAGGGGGAGGAAGAGAGAGATAAGAGACATCGATAGACTACCTCCTGCACATTTCCCATGCGGATCGAGCCTGCAACCTGGGCTTGTGCCCCTACTGGAATCAAACTGGCGACCTCTTGGTGCATGGGATGATGTTCTACCAATTGAGCCACACCAGCTGGGTTGGGGTTTCAATAGAGCTAGAAGCGAAACCAGTGTCTAGAGTTTCCTTTCCACATTGGAGCCAGTCCAATCCAGCATCAGGCTAGCTGCAGTCCATTAATGCAGGTTGGGGAGAGTGTCATTCATGCACCAGGCCTCTAGTTTAAAGTAATAAAGGGATGCCCTGGCCAGTGTGGCTCTGTTGGTTGGAACATCATCCCTTACTCTGAAAAGTTCCCAGTCAGGACCCATACCTGGGTTGTGGGTTTGGTCCCAGTGTGGGAGGCAGCTGGTTGATGTTTTTCTTTCTCTCCCTTCCTCTCTAGAAAGTCAAATAAAAATAATAATAATAATTAAAAGGAAGAAGGATCTAATCTTAAGTGTCTGGACATATGAGAAGTTAAAACATGGAGAAACTCATAAAAAATCCATTCAACCCCAGCCTTCCAGAAGTTTCTGATTTCTAAATGCAATTTTGTTGTGGCATGAGTATTAGTTTATAAATATGGGCCAGTTGGTACCATCATTTAATTATTCTTTCATTTAATCAGTGTCTACTAGGTGCCTTTTATGTTCAGGGAAGAGATTATAGAATTGAAAGATTGCAAGTTCCATGAAGGAATTTCACTTTTGAACAGAATTGCTTTACAAATGGTCGACAATAACTATCTATTAAATGAATAAGCCAATGAAGAACTTTTAAAAAATGATGAAATCATACTTTCTTAAATTTGTGCTCTAGCTAACCAACTTAAATCAAGAGGCATGTTTCTGCTTCTATAAAATGCATTAGCTTTCATAGATCATTATCCATTTAAAAAGTCTGACAAAGCAAAAACTTCCTGAGGTCAGGGGTATATCTTCTCACTGTCACACCTGTTGCCATCCAGGATTGTGTAAGCCTTCTTTTATTGAATACTTACTGTGTGCCAGCGGTTGTTGTAAATGTTTTATAGGGATTTACACTTCCAATGTAGATCTTAAAATGAAAAACAATAAAAATGTTATATTCTAGTAATCTTAGTAAGGGCAACTTCTGTCTATTCACTCAGCTCATGTTTGTGGGATGCATTAATTTATGTGCTCAGACTAATATAAGAGAACAGTACTTTATTTAAAAAAAATCTTTATTGTTGAGATTATTACTATATGCATATCAGATCTTTGTTTAATCTCTTCCTGCTCCCTTACCCCCCTTCCCTCTGAGAATCATCAGTCTGCTCCATTTCCAGGCCTCTGATTCTATTTTATTCACCAGTTTATTCTAATCATTAGATTTATTATTTGTTTATTTTGACATTTAGATTCAATTCTTGATAGGTATGTATTTGTTGCCATTTTGTTGTTCATATTTGTGACCTTTTTCTTCTTCCTCTTCTTAAAGAATATCCTTCAACATTTCATATAATACTAGTTTGGTGGTGATGAACTCCTTTAGCTTTTTCTTATCTGTGAAGCTCTTTATCTGATCTTCCTTTCCAAATTATAGCTTTGCTGGTAGAGTAATCTTGGTTGTAGGTCCTTGCAATTCATCACTTGAATACTTCTTGCCACTCCATTCTGGCCTGCATAGTTTCTGTTGAGAAGTCAGCTGATAGTCGTATGGGTATTCCCTTATAGGAAACTAACTGCTTTTCTCTTGCTGCTTTTAAGATTTTCTCTCTTTAGCCCTTGGCATTTTAATTATGATGTGTCTTGGTGTGGTCCTCTTTGAGTTCCTCTTGTTTGGGGGTCTCTGTGTTTCCTGGACTTGAAAGTCTATTTCTTTCAACAGGTAGGGGAAGTTTTCTGTCATTATTTCTTCAAATAGGTTTTTAATATCTTGCTCTTTCTCTTCTTCTGGCACCCCCATAATGCGAATCTTGGTATGCTTTAAGTTGTCCCATAGGCTCCTGACATTATCTTTATATGTTTGTATTCTTTTTTCTTTTTGCTGTTCTGGTTGGGTGTTTTTTCCCCCTCACATTTCAAATCATTGATTTGATTCTCAGAATCCACCACTCCTCCATCTGGAAGAAAGCCACCCCCGAGTTCCTGACTCAATGCCAGAAAATCTAGTTCCTCCTCCTATGTGTCTGTGTCCACCAGAGCCTTGCCCTAGTGCTGGAGCTCAGAGGAAGTGAGACCCTGTAAGTTCAGTTGGTGGTGCTGGTCTTTTAGGAGGAGCAGCTGGGTCTCCAGCAGCCACCCCTGTGTTTGTTTCTATGTATTGGGCAGAGCTGCTATGTCTCCTTGAGTTGGTAGAGTGCCTTGTGTAGTAGGTGCTCTATAGAAACCAGTGGCTGAGCCTCCCCAGTCACCTGAACTGGGAGCTCCAGGTACATCCTTTTGTGTGCTGTGTGCACAGTCTTATTGTAGTTGAGACTTGACTGCTATTGGTGTCACTGGGAGGAATGGACCTCCAGGCCGATTGGCTATGAAGACCAGCTGTGACTACAGTGGGAGAGCTGCTGTGCAGAAGACAACCCTGTGGAGCAGTACTTGCTTCAGTGGGGCTTTGGTGCTCACTGAGTCTGACCCTTGAGTATGTCTCTTATGGATGTGTAGAGTTATAATCTGATATGATCTGATGCTGACCACTGAGTACACTGACTCTTGGGTCTCCAGGAAGGTGCAAAGTCAGCCACTGCCTGGGGCCACCCAGCAGAAGCTACAGAGAGATATTCAGATTCCTCCTATTTGTATCGGGTTTGGAAGTGCCCAGATGAGGCCCAGCTATGAAGCAAGGCAGGCTGGTGCTGGTGCCAGGTCTTGGGCCTTTTATTGATAGGTTTGAGGCTCCCTGAATAGGTTTAGGGCACCTGACCCAGTTGCTGTTTGTTTGAGACATTTAGCAAAGTCTGATGCAGGAGCAAGGACAGGCCATTCATATGCAAAAAGTCACTGCACACAGGTTGGGTGGGGCTGCATATTGGATCCGGTGGGGTCTCAAGGAATCACCAGGGCAGAGCAAACAAAAATGACTGCCAGTCATCCCTGCAATCAGGGAGGTCCCAGCATAGAAACAATGATCCCTGTGAGCATCTCCATCTGGAAGAAAGCCACCCCCGAGTTCCTGACTCAATGCCAGAAAATCTAGTTCCTCCTCCTATGTGTCTGTGTCCACCAGAGCCTTGCCCTAGTGCTGGAGCTCAGAGGAAGTGAGACCCTGTAAGTTCAGTTGGTGGTGCTGGTCTTTTAGGAGGAGCAGCTGGGTCTCCAGCAGCCACTGTGTCACTGAGCCCCAATCCACACTGGATTTTACAGCACGTAATTCTTTTTTTAATTCTTTTTATTTCTCAGAGGGCAGAGATCCCATCTCCGGTTGTCCCGCAACTTGGCGCTCCGTGCTCCAGTCATCTGCCTTGCTTTGCCAGGCTACCTCCTCCCCTCTGCCTCGGGCCTCCTCTCCATTGTCCCCTTCCTTCCACACCACCCAGCCAGCTTCTCCCCGAGACGCGCTGTCCTCCCTCCCCCCGTACCCGGGTGAGTCCCCTCAGGGTCTCCTCTCACGCCACCCCCCAAACGGACCCCAAGCCCCGCTCATCAGCTTCTCCCCCTTTGCCTTTTCTTCTCCCTTGAAGATTCCTCCATCCATCCCAACCCCGTCACTCCTCCCTCTTCTCATTCTCCTTCCTCTACATTGGCCGGCCCCTCCCACCAGCGCCTCTTCCCCCAACTCACTCTACAGCACGTAATTCTTACTGCCCATAGATACTTCTTTTCCCAGTTCTGGGACCCTGGGCTGGAGTCTGGTGTGGAGCTGGGACCCCTTGCTCCTCCAGGCAGCCTCTACAGAGACGATCTCCCTCCCTACTAATGAAGTGGCACACGTGGGTGCCGGACCCTGTTCCATGCCTCTGCACCTCTCCCCAGTCTCACTGTGCTTTCTTCTCTACTTCTCTAGTTGTAGGAATTATATTCAGTTAGCTTCCCAGCGGTTCTGGATGATGGTTGTTCTGTATTTTATTTGTAATTTTGATGTGGTTGTGGGAGGTGGTGAGTACAGGCATTTACCTATGCCGCTATCTTCTGTTTTTGTTTTTTCAAGAGAACTGTACTTTAGAAATATGGGCTTAAAATCAGATTTGGCTCTTATATATATATTACATACATATTATTGAACAATTTCTTAATTTCTCTAAGTCTCATTTTCCTCATGCATAAAATGGGAATAAAAATAGCTGTCTCAAATGGCTGTCTTTTTTTTTTCTAAATATATATTTTTTATTGATTTTTTACAGAGAGGAAGGGAGAAAGATAGAGAGTCAGAAACATCAATGAGATAGAAACATCGATCAGCTGCCTCTTACACATCTCCTACTGGGGATGTGGCTGCAACCAAGGTACATGCCCCTGACTGGAATCGAACCTGGGACCTTTCGGTCCGCAGGCTGACGCTCTATCCACTGAGCCAAACCAG